GGATAGCTGTATGTGTAACTCCTTATACCATCTCCCTGACTGATCCTATAACAACCTCAATCCAAGCAGGGATAGCTGTATGTGTAACTCCTTATACCATCTCCCTGACTGATCCTATAACAACCTGAATCCAAGCAGGGATAGCTGTGTGTGTAACTCCTTATACCATCTCCCTGACTGATCCTATAACAACCTGAATCCAAGCAGGGATAGCTGTGTGTAACTCCTTATACCATCTCCCTGACTGATCCTATAACAACCTGAATCCAAGCAGGGATAGCTGTGTGTAACTCATACCATCTCCCTGACTGATCCTATAACAACCTGAATCCAAGCAGGGATAGCTGTGTGTGTAACTCCTTATACCATCTCCCTGACTGATCCTATAACAACCTGAATCCAAGTAGGGATAGCTGTGTGTAACTCCTTATACCATCTCCCTGACTGATCCTATAACAACCTGAATCCAAGCAGGGATAGCTGTGTGTAACTCCTTATACCATCTCCCTGACTGATCCTATAACAACCTGAATCCAAGCAGGGATAGCTGTGTGTGTAACTCCTCATACCATCTCCCTGACTGATCCTATAACAACCTGAATCCAAGCAGGGATAGCTGTGTGTAACTCCTTATACCATCTCCCTGACTGATCCTATAACAACCTGAATCCAAGCAGGGATAGCTGTGTGTGTAACTCCTTATACCATCTCCCTGACTGATCCTATAACAACCTGAATCCAAGCAGGGATAGCTGTGTGTGTAACTCCTTATACCATCTCCCTGACTGATCCTATAACAACCTGAATCCAAGCAGGGATAGCTGTGTGTAACTCCTTATACCATCTCCCTGACTGATCCTATAACAACCTGAATCCAAGCAGGGATAGCTGTGTGTGTAACTCCTTATACCATCTCTCTGACTGATCCTATAACAACCTGAATCCAAGCAGGGATAGCTGTGTGTAACTCCTTATACCATCTCCCTGACTGATCCTTTAACAACCTGAATCCAAGCAGGGATAGCTGTGTGTGTAACTCCTTATACCATCTCCCTGACTGATCCTATAACAACCTGAATCCAGGCAGGGATAGCTGTGTGTAACTCCTTATACCATCTCCCTGACTGATCCTATAACAACCTGAATCCAAGCAGGGATAGCTGTGTGTAACTCCTTATACCATCTCCCTGACTGATCCTTTAACAACCTGAATCCAGGCAGGGATAGCTGTGTGAAACTCCTTATAACCTTCTCCCTGACTGATCCTATAACAACCTGAATCCAAGCAGGGATAGCTGTGTGTAACTCCTTATACCATCTCCCTGACTGATCCTATAACAACCTGAATCCAAGTAGGGATAGCTGTGTGTAACTCCTTATACCATCTCCCTGACTGATCCTATAACAACCTGAATCCAAGCAGGGATAGCTGTGTGTGTGTATCTCCTTATATCTTCTCTCTGACTGATCCTATAACAACCTGAATCCAAGCAGGGATAGTTGTGTAACTCCCTATACCATCTCCCACTGATCCTATAACAACCTGGAATCCAAGTAGGGATAGCTGTGTATGTGAACTCCTCTTATAAATACCATCTCCCTGACTGATCCTATAACAACCTGAATCCAAGCAGGATAGATGTGTGTAACCTCTATACCATCTCCCTGACTGATCCTATAACCTGAATCCAAGCAGGGATAGCTGTGTGTTTAACTCCTTATACCATCTCCCTGTCTGATCCTATAACAACCTGAATCCAAGCAGGGATAGCTGTGTGTAACTCATACCATCTCCCTGACTGATCCTATAACAACCTGAATCCAAGCAGGGATAGCTGTGTGTGTAACTCCTTATACCATCTCCCTGTCTGATCCTATAACAACCTGAATCCAAGCAGGGATAGCTGTGTGTGTGCGTAACTCCTTATACCATCTCCCTGACTGATCCTATAACAACCTGAATCCAAGCAGGGATAGCTGTGTGTGTAACTCCTTATACCATCTCCCTGACTGATCCTATAACAACCTGAACCCAAGCAGGGATAGCTGTGTGTAACTCCTTATACCATCTCCCTGACTGATCCTATAACAACCTGAATCCAAGCAGGGATAGCTGTGTGTAACTCCTTATACCATCTCCCTGACTGATCCTATAACAACCTGAATCCAAGCAGGGATAGCTGTGTGTGTAACTCCTTATACCATCTCCCTGACTGATCCTATAACAACCTGAATCCAAGCAGGGATAGCTGTGTGTAACTCCTTATACCATCTCCCTGACTGATCCTATAACAACCTGAATCCAAGCTGTGTGTAACTCCTTATACCATCTCCCTGACTGATCCTATAACAACCTGAATCCAAGCAGGGATAGCTGTGTGTGTAACTCCTTATACCATCTCCCTGACTGATCCTTTAACAACCTGAATCCAAGCAGGGATAGCTGTGTGTAACTCCTTATACCATCTCCCTGACTGATCCTATAACAACCTGAATCCAAGCAGGGATAGCTGTGTGTAACTCCTTATACCATCTCCCTGACTGATCCTATAACAACCTGAATCCAAGCAGGGATAGCTGTGTGTAACTCCTTATACCATCTCCCTGACTGATCCTATAACAACCTGAATCCAAGCAGGGATAGCTGTGTGTAACTCCTTATACCATCTCCCTGACTGATCCTATAACAACCTGAATCCAAGCAGGGATAGCTGTGTGTAACTCCTTATACCATCTCCCTGACTGATCCTATAACAACCTGAATCAAAGCAGGGATAGCTGTGTGTGTAACTCCTTATACCATCTCCCTGACTGATACTATAACAACCTGAATCCAAGCAGGGATAGCTGTGTGTGTGTAACTCCTTATACCATCTCCCTGTCTGATCCTATAACAACCTGAATCCAAGCAGGGATAGCTGTGTGTGTAACTCCTTATACCATTTCCCTGACTGATCCTATAACAACCTGAATCCAAGCAGGGATAGCTGTGTGTAACTCCTTATACCATCTCCCTGACTGATCCTATAACAACCTGAATCCAAGCAGGGATAGATGTGTGTAACTCCTTATAACCTTCTCCCTGACTGATCCTATAACAACCTGAATCCAAGCAGGGATAGCTGTGTGTAACTCCTTATACCATCTCCCTGACTGATCCTATAACAACCTGAATCCAAGCAGGGATAGCTGTGTGTTTGTGTCTCCTTATACCATCTCCCTGACTGATCCTATAACAACCTGAATCCAAGCAGGGATAGCTGTGTGTAACTCCTTATACCATCTCCCTGACTGATCCTATAACAACCTGAATCCAAGCAGGGATAGCTGTGTGTAACTCCTTATACCATCTCCCTGACTGATCCTTTAACAACCTGAATCCAAGCAGGGATAGCTGTGTGTGTAACTCCTTATACCATCTCCCTGACTGATCCTATAACAACCTGAATCCAAGTAGGGATAGCTGTGTGTAACTCCTTATACCATCTCCCTGACTGATCCTATAACAACCTGAATCCAAGCAGGGATAGCTGTGTGTAACTCCTTATACCATCTCCCTGACTGATCCTATAACAACCTGAATCCAAGCAGTGATAGCTGTGTGTAACTCCTTATACCATCTCCCTGACTGATCCTATAACAACCTGAATCCAAGCAGGGATAGCTGTGTGTGTAACTCCTTATACCATCTCCCTGACTGATCCTATAACAACCTGAATCCAAGCAGGGATAGCTGTGTGTAACTCCTTATACCATCTCCCTGACTGATCCTATAACAACCTGAATCAAGTAGGGATAGCTGTGTGTGTGTAACCTCTCATACCATCTCCCCTGACTATCCTATAACAACCTGGAATCCAAGCAAGCAGGACATAGCTAGCTGTGTGTGTGTAACTCATACCATCTCCCTGACTGATCCTATAACAACCTGAATCCAAGCAGGGATAGCTGTGTGTAACTCGTTATACCATCTCCCTGACTGATCCTATAACAACCTGAATCCAAGCAGGGATAGCTGTGTGTAACTCCTTATACCATCTCCCTGACTGATCCTATAACAACCTGAATCCAAGCAGGGATAGCTGTGTGTAACTCCTTATACCATCTCCCTGACTGAGCCTATAACAACCTGAATCCAAGCAGGGATAGCTGTGTGTAACTCCTTATACCATCTCCCTGACTGATCCTATAACAACCTGAATCCAAGCAGGGATAGCTGTGTGTCTAACTCCTTATACCATCTCCCTGACTGATCCTATAACAACCTGAATCCAAGCAGGGATAGCTGTGTGTAACTCCTTATACCATCTCCCTGACTGATCCTATAACAACCTGAATCCAGGCAGGGATAGCTGTGTGTAACTCCTTATACCATCTCCCTGACTGATCCTATAACAACCTGAATCCAAGCAGGGATAGCTGTGTGTGTGTATCTCCTTATATCTTCTCTCTGACTGATCCTATAACAACCTGAATCCAAGCAGGGATAGCTGTGTGTGTAACTCCTTATACCATCTCCCTGACTGATCCTATAACAACCTGAATCCAAGCAGGGATAGCTGTGTGTGTCTCCTTATACCATCTCCCTGACTGATCCTATAACAACCTGAATCCAAGCAAGATAGCTGTGTGTAACTCCTTATACCATCTCCCTGACTGATCCTATAACAACCTGAATCCAAGCAGGGATAGCTGTGTGTGTAACCTACACCATCTCCCTGACTGATCCTATAACAACCTGAATCCAAGCAGGATAGCTGTGTGTGTAACCTCATACCATCTCCTGACTGGATCCTATAACAATCTGAATTCAAGCAGGATAGCTGTGTGTAACTCATACCATCTCCCTGACTGATCCTATAACAACCTGAATCCAAGCAGGGATAGCTGTGTGTGTAACTCCTTATACCATCTCCCTGACTGATCCTATAACAACCTGAATCCAAGCAGGGATAGCTGTGTGTAACTCCTTATACCATCTCCCTGACTGATCCTATAACAACCTGAATCCAAGTAGGGATAGCTGTGTGTAACTCCTTATACCATCTCCCTGACTGATCCTATAACAACCTGAATCCAAGCAGGGATAGCTGTGTGTGTGTATCTCCTTATATCTTCTCTCTGACTGATCCTATAACAACCTGAATCCAAGCAGGGATAGCTGTGTGTGTAACTCCTTATACCATCTCCCTGACTGATCCTATAACAACCTGAATCCAAGCAGGGCTAGCTGTGTGTAACTCCTTATACCATCTCCCTGACTGATCCTATAACAACCTGAATCCAAGCAGGGATAGCTGTGTGTAACTCCTTATACCATCTCCCTGACTGATCCTATAACAACCTGAATCCAAGCAGGGATAGCTGTGTGTAACTCCTTATACCATCTCCCTGACTGATCCTTTAACAACCTGAATCCAAGCAGGGATAGCTGTGTGTAACTCCTTATACCATCTCCCTGACTGATCCTATAACAACCTGAATCCAAGCAGGGATAGCTGTGTGTGTGTATCTCCTTATATCTTCTCTCTGACTGATCCTATAACAACCTGAATCCAAGCAGGGATAGCTGTGTGTGTAACTCCTTATACCATCTCCCTGACTGATCCTATAACAACCTGAATCCAAGCTGGGATAGCTGTGTGTAACTCCTTATACCATCTCCCTGACTGATCCTTTAACAACCTGAATCCAAGCAGGGATAGCTGTGTGTGTAACTCCTTATACCATCTCCCTGACTGATCCTATAACAACCTGAATCCAAGCAGGGATAGCTGTGTGTAACTCCTTATACCATCTCCCTGTCTGATCCTATAACAACCTGAATCCAAGCTGGGATAGCTGTGTGTAACTCCTTATACCATCTCCCTGTCTGATCCTATAACAACCTGAATCCAAGCTGGGATAGCTGTGTGTGTAACTCCTTATACCATCTCCCTGACTGATCCTATAACAACCTGAATCCAAGCAGGGATAGCTGTGTGTAACTCCTTATACCATCTCCCTGACTGATCCTATAACAACCTGAATCCAAGCAGGGATAGCTGTGTGTGTAACTCCTTATACCATCTCCCTGACTGATCCTATAACAACCTGAATCCAAGCAGGGATAGCTGTGTGTAACTCCTTATACCATCTCCCTGACTGATCCTATAACAACCTGAATCCAAGCAGGGATAGCTGTGTGTAACTCCTTATACCATCTCCCTGACTGATCCTATAACAACCTGAATCCAAGCAGGGATAGCTGTGTGTGTAACTCCTTATACCATCTCCCTGATGATCCTAAGGCACAACCTGGAATCCAAGCAGGATAGCTGTGTAAAATCTCCTTATACCATGACTGATCCTATAACAACCTGAATCCAAGCAGGGATAGGTGTGTGTAACTCCTTATACCATCTCCCTGACTGATCCTATAACAACCTGAATCCAAGCAGGGATAGCTGTGTGTAACTCCTTATACCATCTCCCTGACTGATCCTATAACAACCTGAATCCAAGCAGGGATAGCTGTGTGTAACTCCTTATACCATCTCCCTGACTGATCCTATAACAACCTGAATCCAAGCAGGGATAGCTGTGTGTAACTCCTTATACCATCTCCCTGACTGATCCTATAACAACCTGAATCCAAGCAGGGATAGCTGTGTGTAACTCCTTATACCATCTCCCTGACTGATCCTATAACAACCTGAATCCAAGCAGGGATAGCTGTGTGTAACTCCTTATACCATCTCCCTGACTGATCCTATAACAACCTGAATCCAAGCAGGGATAGCTGTGTGCGTAACTCCTTATACCATCTCCCTGACTGATCCTATAACAACCTGAATCCAAGCAGGGATAGCTGTGTGTAACTCCTTATACCATCTCCCTGTCTGATCCTATAACAACCTGAATCCAAGCTGGGATAGCTGTGTGTGTAACTCCTTATACCATCTCCCTGACTGATCCTATAACAACCTGAATCCAAGCTGGGATAGCTGTGTGTAACTCCTTATACCATCTCCCTGACTGATCCTATAACAACCTGAATCCAAGCAGGGATAGCTGTGTGTAACTCCTTATACCATCTCCCTGACTGATCCTATAACAACCTGAATCCAAGCAGGGATAGCTGTGTGTGTAACTCCTTATACCATCTCCCTGACTGATCCCATAACAACCTGAATCCAAGCAGGGATAGCTGTGTGTAACTCCTTATACCATCTCCCTGACTGATCCTATAACAACCTGAATCCAAGCAGGGATAGCTGTGTGTAACTCCTTATACCATCTCCCTGACTGATCCTTTAACAACCTGAATCCAAGCAGGGATAGCTGTATGTAACTCCTTATACCATCTCCCTGACTGATCCTATAACAACCTGAATCCAAGCAGGGATAGCTGTGTGTAACTCCTTATACCATCTCCCTGACTGATCCTATAACAACCTGAATCCAAGCAGGGATAGCTGTGTGTGTGTATCTCCTTATATCGTCTCTCTGACTGATATAGGCTGGTGATGACCCCAGCTCTTCTCCATCTGGAGAATGCGCTTATAGCCTGGCCATGCAGTACTGTGCTCTGAGAAGGGAGTCCGGGTATATGGTATTCTCATGACCCTTGCAATGGTTTGTGGTGTTTATGGTGCTTTGAGTGACATTCTTTGCAGATAATTAAAGATTACCCCTTCATTAATGAGCTGATTTATTTCCTGTCCTGTATTAATGCTTTATAAGGCAGGGCAGCACTTTTCACGGGTTGTCCACAGGTTTGAAGACTTTCTATACATACAGAAATCATGGCAGGGCTGTCATCTCTACATAAGTTAGACTGTAAGGTTCAAAACATAGGTCTGCATTCCTGTTGTAATTGGATGAACCACATAGAAGAATAGGCTGGTACTTGGTACTGTTGGTACTATTTGGAAATGGGCACCCCCTTTACATGGCATTTATTGTCTTCCATGATACAGGACAGAGCCTGTGCGGGAGCTTTCTATGAAATTCGACATGTATGACTCCAAATGGATCTATTCGATTCACCGGTTAAAGTCAGACATGAGCTAAGCCGGGTCACTCAGTAAATCGCTGACTAGTCAGGCAGTGGCACTTTAGTGAATAAGTTGAAATGATCTTATCGGAGAGGACGTTTTTGGGGTCGCTTTGTTTTAACTAGTGGTTTCTGCGTGTAATGCCTTGTGGTGTGAGATTCCAGTATAATAACATTTATTGTTTTACACACGGACACCAGGTAACAAGCGGTTAAAGTTTTTATGATCGTGTAACCTTGCCAAGCTCAGCCCACGAGATTTACTGTTTTCCCAGTTTATCATGAAGCTGAAGGCACGTGTGTTTCAAGGGCAGGAGTTGCCCATTAGTGCCGGTTGCCCTGGATTTCTGGTAGCTCTCTCAATCTGTTATTTGTATTTTTTATCAAAGCAGATGTAGAAAATTCTTCCTCCAGTCTGAACTCCTGGAGTTACGAAGACTGAATGATCTTGGATTGATTCCTGCGAATGAGATCTGCTGAATACAGTCTGGATTGGCTGATGTCAATTGGTGAGTGTTCTGATTTTCTTGTATAAAGTGCTCTCTAACACTTCCATTACTTCTTCCGTTATGACTCGTTATCGGTCATTCCATCTTGGGGAGGCTGTGATATTATCGCTGAATATACGTTTATTTCACAGACCAATGATAGGGTGTCAGATTTGGGGGATCTGTATGAATTGTAAGCTTGTTTTCGGCAGGCCCTTCTTCACCTACTGTTCCCATATGGCATACATGTTTTGCTAAAATGTTTAATGTTTGTCTTGTTTCCTATTGTGCAGTGCTGCAGACTATGTTGGCGCTATATTATTAATTATAAAACAGCAGGTATGGAAAAAAGTGTTAAAAGTGGAGCAGTCAGCTTAGAATCAAGTTGCCTGGTTGATTGTTTTACTTCTAGAACTTTGAATCAGATTTGCTCTGTATAAAGAGCCTGCATTGTCAGTAATATTAACGTAACTGGAAGTGTTGACCATGGTTGGAACTCCCACTGTCCCCAAAGTTATGTGCCATGCAGGTAGGACTTCACCTCAGTCCTCTTGTCTTCTAATGATTTGTCTCAGTGTTTACATCCACTGGCCACAAACATGGACCACGTGATTACATTTTATAGTCTATATGAAACCCTGGCATTGAGGATAACCCTGATCTTAGTTCACCTAGTTTTTGTCTATCCTATAATCTGCGTACAATCACTGGTTTTTACGTCTATCTCTAATACGCACTGTATGTCTTCTACTAAGTGGTCATCTCATTCTGCCTCTGATGGTGGTTGTAGTAGGTGACACTGATTGGTATGCTACTTATTATTTTGATCTGATTGTTGTAGACCCGCATGGCGGAGCTGAGAAAACAAGAAGAAGTCCAAGATGGTGTGCACACCAAGCTTGAGCCAGCACGTTGTGCTTCCACCACCGCCAACAACTTGGCAATCCTTAAAGAAAGGTCATTCGATATCAACTTTGAGGTTGGAGATGAATACGATATCATCGAAACTATTGGAACCGGGGCGTATGGGGTGGTTTCCTCTGCACGTCGAAAAGGCTCAGGTGAGACATTGTTGTATTGTAAAAAAGTAATGATTGTCAAGGCATTCAAGTTAAATCCAGTGGGCAGAGTTATTGGAACAGAATCAAAGCAACGTTTAGGCCCACAACAGGGCCTTTGTCAAAGGCCCTGTTGTGAGCATGACAAAGGCCCTGTTGTGTGCCGAAATGTTGCTTTGAAACTGCTTCAATAAATCTGCTCACTGGATTTAATTTGAGTGCCTGGACCATCATTACTTTTTTGCAAATCACATTGTGAGGATTGGCCAACCTCAGGCCCGGTTGCACCCTGGGATCCAGGAGAGTGCGGTAACCATACTGGTAATTATATTGTTGTATTGTAAGCATGGTGCTCCTTAACAAGAGAGGATGATGGACAAATTTAACTAAAGTCTGACTAATGATATGAGTATAATGCGCGATATCTCATATATGTCATCTGACAGTGCAAAGTATGAATGTTTTATTTCCTGTTCATTACAGAGCTGGTTAACCCATGCCTTATGATGATCTGTCAATAACAAGCAGAAATAATTTTCACTTTATTCCACTGTGCATAGGTCAGAAAGTCGCCATTAAGAAAATACCAAATGCCTTTGACGTTGTAACGAATGCAAAACGCACACTTCGTGAGCTGAAAATTCTAAAGCACTTCAAGCATGATAATATAATCGCCATTAAAGATATTCTAAGACCATCCATGTCCTACGCAGACTTCAAGGCTGTGTAAGAGTCTTCTTCATGTTCCTTCTTGCTGATCTTATTGGGAATGTATCACCGAGTTTGTCAATCGACTGCTTTTGTCATTCAAAGGTCTTATCCCTCCATCATATTCTCTCGTTTCTTTTATTGGGAATGAGGCAATAGGCTGTTTTCCTCACTTAGTCCTTGATTTCATTCATTTCAATCAGAATCATAAATTGTTCCATTTTGTTAGGAAAACATTTTTTGAATGATTTATCTACAAACCTTTCCTTAGACTTTAAAAGTGACTTATGTAGATAAATCATCTGAAAAGTTATTTTTTTCTAAATGAATAAAATCATTTCTGATTAAACAAATGATATATTTGGTTTAGTGTTTCTGATAATCTTTGTATATACTTTTGCTTCTCTGACTGGGAATGTAGCAAGGAGTTCAGCTATAGACTGCTTTCATCATGCTCTGTCTGTATAATTGGATGAAGGGTACAACTTAATGGTTTATTGTGGTCATACTGAATAATTAGCTATTACTACTGAAACAATTGGAAAACAAGTTAAAGCAGACATTTTCGGCATATTTCTCCTCTGGCATTGCTGAGTTTAAGGATGCTTTGATGCACTTTGTACCTACCTAGTTGGAGGGCTGAGGTTTAGTTGTGACGCATGCTGTGAATTGATTTCAGACACTTTTTGTCCTCTCAGGTATGTGGTACTAGATCTCATGGAAAGCGACTTACATCAGATCATCCATTCCTCGCAGCCACTCACCCTTGAACATGCCCGTTACTTCTTGTACCAGCTGCTCCGGGGCCTGAAGTACATCCACTCTGCCAACGTCCTTCATCGAGATCTAAAGCCTAGCAACCTCCTCATAAATGAGAACTGCGAGCTAAAGATCGGTGACTTTGGGATGGCTCGAGGCCTCTGCACCAAGCCAGATGAGTACAAATATTTCATGACTGAGTATGTAGCCACTCGCTGGTATCGAGCCCCTGAGCTTATGCTGTCACTCCACGAGTATACTCAGGCCATCGATATGTGGTCAGTGGGATGTATCTTTGCAGAAATGCTTGGACGCAGGCAGCTGTTCCCAGGAAAGAACTACATTCATCAACTTCAGCTCATAATGACAGTGTTAGGTACCCCATCCAGCCAGGTGATAAGGGCAATAGGGGCGGAGAGAGTACGGGCGTACATCCAGAGTTTGCCTTCTCGTCAACCAGTGCCGTGGGCAAGTCTTTACCCACAAGGAGACCGTAAAGCCTTGGATCTACTTTCGAAAATGTTGAGATTTGACCCACGTGAACGAATTTCTGTGAACGAAGCCCTGCGGCACCCATTCCTCTCCAAATATCATGACCCAGATGATGAACCAGAATGTGTGCCGGCCTTTGACTTTGGCTTCGATAAAATGATTCTTACCAAGGAGCAGATCAAAGAAGCCATTGTAGCTGAAATAGACAGCTTTCACCGCAGGAGAGAAGGAATCCGACGACAAATTAGCTTCAAACCTGCACTGGTACCAGCCGTGGAGGGGCCAGTAGGTGAAGGTGTCATCAGGGAAGATGACTTTCAGTCTCCACCACTCCCCCCTCCACCTGCAGGATTGGATGTGGACATGCCTAGTGCCAATTCCGCCAGGGAGAGGCTGGATTTCCCCATGGAGTCACCCAGGGCTCCATTGAAACCAGAGACTATAGATTTAACTTCTCCTGTGGAGAACGGAGAGACAGTGCCACCGACAGAGAACCAGGAGGTCAAAGAGGAGACGCCATTAGTCAAAACAGATCCAGAACCTGTGCCAAAGAGGGAAGGGGCTATATCGGATGACACCAAAGCAGCGCTTAAAGCCGCGCTTATGAAATCAGCTCTGCGGAACAAGGGAAAAGGTAAGGCACGGAGGACACCTCTTTTAAGCTTAATTGTATATTTCATATTCTACAGTAAATGATAATTTCTTTATTCTAGGCTGTTTAAAACTTTATTCAATCTTTGTTGCTTGGTTCCTAAGACTTATCCTTTAGTATCTTCTTCACCCACCACCTTAAAGAGACACTCGAAAAAAACAACAAATATACACCCCTCACATTTTTGTAAATATTTTATTATATCTTTTCATGTGACAACACTGAAGAAATGACACTCTGCTACAATGTAAAGTAGTAAGTGTACAGCCTGTATAACAGTGTAAATGTAGTGTCCCCTCAAAATAATTCAACAGACAGCCATTAATGTTGGCAACAAAAGTGAGTACACCCCAAAGTGGAAATGTCTAAATTGGGCCCAAAGTGTCAATATTTTGTGTGGCCACCATTATTTTCCAGCACTGCCTTGACCCTCATGTCATGGAGTTCACCAGAGCTTCACAGGTTGCCACTGGAGTCCTCTTCCACTCCTCCATGACGACATCACAAAGCCGGTGGATGTTAGACCTTGTGCTCCAGCTTCTTCCGTTTGAGGATGCCCCACAGATGCTCAATAGGGTTTAGGTCTGGAGACATGCTTGGCCAGTCCATCACCTTTACCTTCAGCTTCTTTAGCAAGGCAGTGATCATCTTGGAGGTGTGTTTGGGGTCGTTATTATGTTGGAATACTGCCCTGCGGCCCAGTCTACAAAGGGAGGGGATCATGCTCTGCTTCAGTATGTCACAATACATATTGGTCTTTCTTGTGCATCATCTTTAGAAGAGGCTTCCTTCTGGGATGACAGCCATGCAGACCAATTTGATGCAGTGTGTGGTGTATGGTCTGAGCACTGACCGGCTGACCCCCCCACCTCTTCAACCTCTGCAGCAATGCTGGCAGCACTATTTCCTAAAGACAATCTCTGGATATGACGCTGAGCACGTGCACTCAACTTCTTTGGTCAACCATGGCGAGGCCTGTTCTGAGTGGAACCTGTCCTGTGAAATCGCAGTATGATCTTTCCCACCGTGCTGCAGCTCAGTTTCAGGGTCTTGGCAATCTTCTTATACCCTAGGCAACAATTCATATTTTTTAGATCCTCAGAGAGTTCTTTGCCATGAGGTGCCATGTTGAACTTCCAGTGACCAGTATGAGAGTGTGAGAGCAATAACACCAAATTTAACACACCTGAGACCGTGTAACACTAACGAGTCACATGACACCAGGGAGGGAAAATGGCTAATTGGGCCCAATTTGGACATTTTCACTTAGGGGTGTACTCACTTTTGTTGTCAACGGTTTAGACATTAAGGGCTGTGTGTTGAGTTATTTTGAGGGGACAGCACATTGACACTGTTATACAGGCTGTACACTTACTACTTTACATTGTAGCAGAGTGTCATTTCTACAGTGTTGTCACATTTATAAGATATAATAAAATATTTCCAAAAATGTGAGGGGTGTACTCACTTTTGTGAGATACTGTGTATGTATATATAAATACACACACAAATCACTGTTTAATAGATTTACCACCAATACAAAAACATGAAACATATATGCATTTAAAGTGTACATGTTTTCAATGTACAATTTAAATTATAGAAAGGTATAGTCTATGCAACACATTTTGGAAAAGATGCATCGTGCCCATATGTATGTGGATGCGTTCTTGTCAAACATCTTATTCCAAACAATGACCATGAATATGGAGATCGTTCCCCTTTTGCTGCTATGTCACTCACCTGGTAAGGCTTCCTATTAGATGATTAAACATTGTTTCAGGGATTTGATTATTTGCTTTCATTTAGCAAAAGGGACAGTATTTCGATGTTGCGTGACTAGGCCTGGCCAAGAGTTGGTGGACAGTCAAATACTCTTGCACACAACTCAACAAACCATTTTTCTGGGAACGTACCTTTGTGCACAGGGAGAATTCCCAACTACCATCATTCTTCTCCCAAAACATTAAGGTTGGCACTCTGCAATCAACCAGCTTGTTCTTTGGCCTGTCTGTAGGTACAGTGTGGTTAACCACTGTAACTTCTCTATGCCACGTCGTGGTTGAGCTGTAAATATTGTTGGATCTCATTCACTACTTTAATATTAGTGTGTTATTTTAACAATGCAATAACTTCTATTTACCTTTCATATCCATCAACTTTTACCATTCTTTGTATATTCCTCCTAGATGCTGCCACGTCTGTCTCCGAAGCTCCAGAAATGAAGAAGCCAATAACAGCTCAGGAACGCCAACGCGAACGTGAAGAGAAGAGAAGGAGGCGCCATGAGCGTGCCAGGGAGAGGGAAAAGAAGCAAAAAGAGAAGGAACGGCGGGAGTTGAAGAAAGCTGAGGGGTTTGGTGGGTTGGTCCTGAGTGAGAATGATAAGAACCTGTTGGAGAGATGGACTCGGATGATTGACCAGACTCAGCAGCAGCCACCCAATCTGCCTCTAATCCAGACACCATCATGTTCAAAGCCCGCACCTTGTCCTGCACAAGCAGCAGAAGTCTGCCCTGTTGCCCAGCCCGTCTTTAGTGTGCCTAACATCAACTTAATTGATAAAGCTGGAAGCCGTCAAAATGGAATCCTCACTGCTCCTACCCTAACTCCAAGTATGCAGTTTGTACCCAGATGTTTGAACCCCTGCCCTGTGCCCAACCTAGTACACTATGTCCCTCCTACATCTTCAGGTTTCCATATTACTCCAGTAGTTTTGGCTCCACAAGCTAAGCCAGGGCCCCCTCCAGTAGCAGCCCATCTTCCTTCTGATGTCAAGTTCATTGGTGGAGGACATGTTTTGCAAAGTCATTTTCCCATCCCCTCCAGACCCAATGCACCCTGGCCCAGATGTGGACAAGAAGGATGGCCTGCTCCAGACACTGGGGATGGCAAGAGAGGCTCATTGACTATAGATCCCTCTCTTTTTCTTCGTAATCCCACTACCTTGGAGCAGACACAGACAGTGCCTGGAATTCCATATTCTAGGGGGGGAAACAGTCTATCTCAGGGAGAACACAAGGCTTGTGACATCACGCCACTCCCACCCACCACATTCAACACGGATGACACCTCCCACCCGACCTCTCCAGATATTAGCCTGGTCACGCAGCAGCTTTCAAAGTCCCAGGTCAGTCCTCTCCCCAATGTATGAGTCACTTAGACTGTGTATATATCATGTTCCTTAAAATTGCAGCTCTTTAGAGTAATAAGTGTTCTCTTTAAATTTAATGAGCCATCCCAAAAATTGACAAAATGTTTGTGATAGTGACAGAACATGCATTAAACAAAAGAAAATTCCATATATTGTGCAGGTACAGAGCCAGACACAAAGTTAAGAGGTTGTTTGGAGGTAGTAATGTGCCCTTTATACATATCTACCTGTTTTCCTTAAAGGGTCCATGAGTGCCAGCCTTGCGTCACTGGTAAACCGTTTACTTACCAGTTAGCGGAGATGTTCACGGCAGGCTGCAGTCTGGCCCCAGTTATGATATGGCGAAGGTGGCGTTAGACTCTGCCTCAGTCTATAGCAAGTCTTACCAGAGACTGCTGACAATGTTGCTATCCCTGGTGTGACGCAAGACAAGCTGCACCTACACTATTTCGTCACTTTCCCTTTACTGTATGGCTTTTCACCAAACTGTACATTTTTAAAAATTGATCAGAGAACTGCAAATTTTAGCAAAGATAGTCAGACTGGCAATATTTTGTGATTATGCTATTTACTCCATCTTGGCAATTTGGCCTAACTTTTACAGTTGAAGAATAACTGTGTAATTATTTAACCCATGCCACGGCCATCATATAACCTTTCAGCACAATCTGCCGTATTCATTGAAATCAATATGGAACCCCCTTATTAACCTTTACTGGGCTCCTGAATTATCTTGTGTTCCTTTCAGGTTGAAGATCTTCTCCCGCCAGTCTTCTCAGTGACCCCCAAAGGAAGTGGAGCTGGGTATGGAGTGGGCTTTGATCTGGAGGAGTTCCTGAACCAGTCCTTTGAGATGCCATCAGAGAACCGCGAGAGGTACACAGCAACCCCCAGCAGATCCCAGCTCTAGAAGAATATTTCCTGCTTCCAAGACGCCTGCTTATTTCTCTGTCACTCTCTCTTACTTTCCTTGCAGCTTGTTCTTTGCCACTTCCTGGGTGCATGGTATGCATCTAGCTGCCAGCCTGTCTGCCTTGACTGGCAGATGTGCCGCTGTTATATCTTCCCCTTCCTGGCATTGTGCACACTTGCTCTACGTATTGTAATGCTTATTGTTAACAGTCTGATGACTAACACTGTGCTACCAGTCAGGCTCTCGCCATATACCTTCCCCTTGCATACATTGTGTAGTTATTTTCTGTTTAGGTACAAACCTGGCTCTGTCTCTTTTGCCCTACAGCCTAGTGGACTCTGCTCCTCTTTCGGCCTCGCTCTTAGCTGATTGGCTGGAAGTTCACCGGATGAATCCTGCCGACATGGCTTCCCTTCAGGAAGATCTCCAGCTGGGGTCTCCCATGATCTTGTCCGACATTCCTGATCTCCAGGACAGTTGAATGAGGTCAAGTAATGGATCTCAGAGTTTGCTGCATATTGCGAAGACGAGGGGGTTTCTTCATGTAACAGGCAGTGTTCAACGAGTAGACAAGGTCTATGGCCGGCTTAGAAAATAGGAATGATTGATGTAGACAAACGATGCATGCACAGAATTTGACACAGTGCCAGGACTGACCCCAGCAGTGCAGTCTTCATGATGGCATTACGGTGACGATGACTCAGAAGACGTTGTACAACGATTGATAATTTGCACTTCCTGATATCTCATTATGAGTCAGCTTTATTAAAACATAATGAGCTTACAATCTGTTTGTTATATACACATTGTCGTCCACTTACCCCAGCTTCACATGTATACATGTGTGTACACACTGTCTCTACCTATCCCAGCTTCCTATGTGTACACACACGGGCTCTGCCTATCCCAGCTTCCTATGTGTACACACACGGGCTCTGCCTATCCCAGCTTCCTATGTGTACACACACTGTTTCTACCTATCCAGGCTTCCTATGTGTACACACACTGTCTCTGCCTATCCCAGCTTCCAATGTGTGCACACTGTCTCTGTCTGTCCCCGCTCTCCATGCGTGCACACTATCCACTTACCCCAGCTCTCCATGTGTGCACGATGTTCACTTTCCCCCGCTCTCCATTTGAGCACGCTGTCCACTTACCCCCTACTCTCCATGCGTGCACACTATCCACTTACCCCCGCTCTCCATGTGTGCGCGATGTCCACTTACCCCCACTCTCCATGTTTGCACGCTGTCCACTTACCCCTACTCTCTATGCGTGCACACTATCCACTTACCCCCGCTCTCCATGTGTGCGCGATGTCCACTTACCCCCGCTCTCCATGTGTGCACGCTGTCCACTTACCCCTACTCTCCATGCGTGCACACTATCCACTTACCCCCGCTCTCCATGTTTGCACGCTGTCCACTTACCCCCGCTCTCCATGTGTCCGCTTTCTGTTTGCAGACATGTAGGTAAAGTCCACTGAAAATTAAGTGCACTGACACAGAAAATTTGTAATTTATTCAGTTTGGGGAAAATGGCAGGTGTAAAGCAGTGGAGGAAATATGAGCTACAGGTTGAAGTGAAGAAGAGATCAGGCGTTTTATGTATCAAACTGATCTCATATTCAGACATTCTGCAGTTTTCCAATTCGTGCCATTACATAGCTGTTCATTAAAGATGTCTAGCATTAAACAGGGTGGTGTTATATGCTGTGTCAGCCTTTACAGTCCTACAAGGGCTACCATATTGTATGATTTTGTAATCCAGAGAGGCATGCCTTGAAAATATGAAAGTTACAGGAGCTCCATCTGTAACCAAAGCTCAGAATTCAGTGTCCTGTATAAATGGATTTATTTATAAAGCTGGAGTGTTGGTGAGTGTACTAGGCCCCCTTTTTACCCGGTGCCTGTAAAAAAAAATAAGATGCTTACCTCGAGTCCAGCGAGGAGACCGCCTTCGCCATCAGTACCGACGCTCTCCCAAGCACTTCAGTACTTCTTAAAGCGTGGCAATCATCAAGCTGCACCATCGGTAATTCTCAATGCTAAACATTGCCATCTGCTTCGTGCTATAATAAAATGCAAAGAGGAAGATCGTCTTCCTGGCTATCTGATCGAAATGTCTTTATATCAGCACTTTTATAGAGAAAGAATGGGCACTCTTTTAAAGGTAGACTCCAAGCACTATAACCACTACAGCTCACTATAGTGTTTATGGTGTCGGGTATTATTATAATAAATATTAACCCATTAATGATGGTATGGCGTACTATGCCTCCCTTCATTTTGTGGATTTAAACGTGTGGACCACGATCGCCGGTAAAGGTTAGTGTCCCAGCCACGGGGGCTGCATACTGTTACCGGGTACTATACGTACCGTTACCAGCGATCATGACGGGTGGGGGCTGCCTGACAACCCAGGCTGTCCCTCTGCAGCCAATCAGGCCATTCTTCTAGGCCATGTCATCACGATGATAAGTCTAAAGCGCTGCCTGCAGTGGGACTGCCAGGGGTGTCAAGCAGTCCCCCAAACAGGAAATAAAAAAACATTATAAATGGTGTGTATATATATATATATATATAAAATACACAAGATCCAGTGCACTCATCCACTAAACAGCAACTTCAAAGCTCACAGATTTTTATTTGTTTTTTGCATTATTTTACACAAAAACTGCACGTTTACTAGTTATTTCATCGTCCTGATAAGTTTCTGTTGTAAACACTCATATTTGTGTTCAATGAAGTCTCCCGAGTATAACAATAAATTCCAAGTGGGGTATTTCCAGTCTTTTGTAGTAACCAGACCGCTTTTCAATTTTCTTACCGTTAAGGACCATGGCTGTTTTTACATTTCTGCAGTGTTTGTGTTTAGCTGTAATTTTTCTCGTACTCATTTACTATACCCACACATATTATATACAGTTTTTCTCGTCATTAAATGGTCTTTCTAAAGATAACATTGTTTTCATCATATCATATAATTTACTATAAAAAAAGATAAAATATGATGACATTTTTTAAAAAAAACCACTTTTTCGAACTTTGAACCCCAAAATCTGTTACGCATCTAAAACCGCCAAAAAACACCCATGCTAAATAGTTTCTAAATTGTGTCCTGAGTTTAGAAATACCCAATGTTAACATGTTCTTACCTTTTTTGGAAAGTTATAGGGCTATAAGTACAAGTAGCACTTTGCTAATTCCAAATCATTGTTTTTCTAAATGAACGGAAGTTACACTGTAACACCGATATCTGTCAGGAATCCCTGAATAACCCTTCAAATGTATATATTTTTTAAATGAAGAGAACCTAAGGTATTACACTTGGGATATTTTCACTATTTTCATGCAACCATTTCACCACCAATCTATGCCAAATTAAAAAAAATAAAAATAACTGGTGATTTTTTGACACACATAGCAATTTAAGAATACATGTACTGAGAACATTAAGGGATACTGCCAGATAACATCCCAATTAAACAGGGTGGTGTTATATGCTGAGTCAGTGAGTACAGTGATACCACCCATGTATAAGTGTGTTGGGTTCTCTGGGGGCTAAAAGATCTTATTTGGAGGGTGCACATTCCAGTTTTCCAACTTGGAATTTTCACAGCTGGTCATCGTGCACCCATGTCCTATTGGGACATTTTTGAAGCTGGCCAATGTAATTTACCACCATCAAATCTTATTTTTATTTTTCTTTAAAGTAGACAACCCACGGTATTCAAAATGGGGTATGGCCACTCTTTTTTTAGTAGCAACTTGGCCAAACACTGGCCAAATTTAGTGAATGCTAACTTTGGCCAGTGTTTGTGACTAAGTGGCTACTAAAAATGACTTAACATACCCCATTTGCAATACCTTGGGTTGTTTTCTTTTGCAAATGGTATGCCATCCTGGGGGTAATTCTCATTCCTGGGCTACCATATGGTCTTAAAGGCAACATAATCAATCTGGCAAATTTCAATGTAAAAAAGCGGTCTTTATATTTGACCCTGTAACTTTCAAAAAAACTATAAAACCTGTACATGGGGTGTACTGTTATACTCGGGAGACTTCGCTGAACACAAATATTAGTGTTTCAAAACAGTAAAACTTATCACTACAATGATATTGTCAGTAAAAGTGCTGTTTGTGTGTGAAAAATGCAAACAAATTCACTTTCACTGACAATATCATCGCTGTGATATGTTTTACTGTTTTGAAACACTAATATTTGTGTTCAGCGAAGACTCCCGAGTAAAACAGTACCCCCCATGTACAGGTTTTAGGGTGTCTTGGAAAATTACAGGGTTAAATATAGTGCTAGCAATTTAAATTCTCTGGACTTTCGGCCTGGGTTGGCAGACAGGTCCCCCAGATTGCAATCAATAAAATAACTTAATTATGTAAAAATATTACTTAATGTAACAGACCATTTTGCCCACAAGAGGTTAAAAAACGTTTAGGCGATATTCCCCTTTCAGGTGCACAGACAGCTACTGCAATCACCAATCTCCCGAACTGCAAACTACACGAATTCTCCAACTCCTGAATAGGAAACTCACAAATACTGGAAACAGCTGAACAGGAAAAACCATACGAAAGGTTTACACTCCTGGCAGTCAGCATACAATCCAATTCCCCCAATAACGAGACGACACTTCGTTTGAGGGTTAAGCAGAATCTCTTTTACTGGGGCTAACTGCCCGGCTTTTATGCAGGTCTCCCACCTGGTGGACACTCCCCTAGGGGACCAGATGGGAGATTGGGACACAAAGGGTACAAGAACCAATCACAGACTTACACATTTCAACCAACCCACAATGCATCACAATCCCTCCTCTCTGTCCTGGAGATAATTGGGAAGTAATCCAATTATCTCCAAGGACAGAGGCAAAACTCCATTAACCACATGGCAGTAAAAAGACAGTAAAAGACATAAAATTACATACAGTTACATTTATTACATAAAACATACACATTCTACATATCCCCAGATAGCTTAGATCTGAGCGCACATTATTACCGAATGGCGCTCAGATCACATACATACAGTTCAATCGCTATGGGGTCAAAGTCTTTCACATAGTCTTTTCGTTACACGAACAGGCTCCATGGCTTAGCAATCTGGGTGATGCTGTTCATCTAGTTAAACTACCGAATGAACAGTTATTCGGTTCCGCTCTTGAATGGGAAGGGAAGGAGGCTGGCGGCTCAGCGGTGTTCGCACAATAAGTGTCCGTTTTCAGTTCCATAGTATAGGCGCTGAACACGGCTGGCCATTTGAGAGGTAAAATGGCCGCTGCCACGTGTTCGGCAACCGAACAAAGGCCTCCCAGCGTTCATCAATTAAGCTGCGGTTAACCGCAGCTTATGGGCGGTCAATTGACGGCACACTCCAGTTCCCAGGTGGTCCATCGTTCGGTAGAACGATGGAATCTACCGAACACCCTGGCAGAAAGGCACGAATAAACCTTTCAGCAGGGAAAATAACAGCTCTGAACTGCAGGGCCATAATCTAAAGGGACCAGGCGAGCAACCAGGCATAGTGGTGAGGTTGGTTCCGTCACACTTAAATATGCACGTAGAATTTAAATATAAATACATATTTATATATTTGAAGTTTACGTGTATATTTATGAAATTATTCATGTAATTATGTATATTTACATATGTATATTTCGTATTATTTTTATTTATTTATATATACATAGATGTATATATAATTTCTGGAATTATAAGGCACATCAACTCCTCTCAGATGTGTAGAGTGTTTTCTCCAGCATATGTAACCCACATATTGGTAGCTTTTATCACAGGAACAACAGGAACTCCCAGGTCCAAAGTGAACATAACCTATTTATTTAGTACAAATAGTACATACAGACAAAATAAAATAAAGTTTAAAACACAACGCGTTTCAACCCACAACCGGGTCTTCCTAAGATGTAAGCATAGTGGAAATGCATACAAATTCCTCTTATATAACATATAAAAAATAATTAACATCAAATACACATGTACATAATTAAAATGGGACACTCCTATTCCCAAATACGGTGTTCCGCCATTACCAAGATGGTGACATCCTATTAAACCCAAATGCCCTCCACAATATGTCCACCAGCATCTTTTTTCTTCTTCCGTTTTCACCCGGTATTAGCCAATATGTCACATCCTGTGACGCACTTCCTCCAGCGCTCCCCGTGTAATCATGTCTCCCTCCTTCCGACATCCACGGGTACATCACACCACATGTATTTATATTATATAGGTTCATATTATTATTATTATTTATTTATATTATTATTTATTTATATAGGTTCCCAGTAGAGCAGTAGGATTATTATTATTTATTTATATTATTATTAATTATATTATTATTATTTATATTATATTATATTTTATAGGTTCCCAGTAGAGCAGTAGGATTATTCTTATTATTTATATTTATTTATATTATTATTATTTATATTATATTATAATATATAGGTTCCCAGTAGAGCAGTAGGATTATTCTTATTATTATTTATATTTATTTATATTATTTATATTATTATTATATAAGTTCCCAGGGGAGCAGTAGGATTATTATTATTATTATTAATATTTATTTATATTATATTATATAGGTTCCCAGTAGAGCAGTAGGATTATTATTATTATTTATATTATATTATATAGGTTCCCAGTAGGATTATTATTATTTATATTATATTATATAGGTTCCCAGGGGAGCAGTAGGATTATTATTATTATTATTTATTTATATTATATTATATAGGTTCCCAGGGGAGCAGTAGGATTATTATTATTATTATTATTATTATTATTATATTTATATAGGTTCCCAGGGGAGCAGTAGGATTATTATTATTATTATTATTATTATTATTATATTTATATGGGTTCCCAGGGGAGCAGTAGGATTATTATTATTATTATTAATATTTATTTATATTATATTATATGGGTTCCCAGGGGAGCAGTAGGATTATTATTATTATTATTATTTATATTATATTATTATTATATAGGTTCCCAGGGGAGCAGTAGGATTATTATTATTATTATTATTATATTTATATAGGTTCCCAGGGGAGCAGTAGGATTATTATTATTATTATTTATATTATATTATTATTATATAGGTTCCCAGGGGAGCAGTAGGATTATTATTATTATTATTATTATATTTATATGGGTTCCCAGGGGAGCAGTAGGATTATTATTATTATTATTAATATTATTATATAGGTTCCCAGGGGAGCAGTAGGATTATTATTATTATTATTAATATTTATTTATATTATATAGGTTCCCAGGGGAGCAGTAGGATTATTATTATTATTATTAATATTTATTTATATTATATTATATAGGTTCCCAGGGGAGCAGTAGGATTATTATTATTATTATTTATATTATATTATATAGGTTCCCAGGGGAGCAGTAGGATTATTATTATTATTATTATTTATATTATATTATTATTGTGACA